TACTTAAAATGAGGAATAAGATCTATTTATCTAAATAATTTTAGGACTTATCAAGCTTTTGTACCTTTTTATTACAAAGTTTTCATATGGATGAAACTTTTCATTAAATGAAAGAACTAGTTAGAACCTGTTTATCCTATTTTGCATAAATAGGATTTTCTTATTTTACATAAAATTTTTAAGAGATATCAACTCAAGCTCTGGTTCACTCTGGTTCACTCATGACATGGGTGGGTAGAGAAGGCCATGGCACAAAAGGATCCACAGAAGGCCACTGAAGAGGTCAGATGGGTCTTCTCTTCTGTGCAGAGCACTGCGGTCATCAGCCTGCTGGGTGCATGTCACTGTCACCGTTTCAACACCAGTCCATTCTCATGGTGCTGGGTGAGGAGGTGGTGATAGAGGAGATGGTCGTATCTTGTTGTTCAGTCACTAAGTTGTGTCCAGCTCTTTGTGACCCCATTGCCTGCAGCACGTCAGGCTTCCCTGTCCTTCACTCTGTCCTGAAGTTTGTTCAAACTCAGGTCCATCGAGTCAGTGTTGCCATCCACCCATCTCATCCTCTGTCACCTTCTTCTCCTCCTTCTCTCAATCTAACCGAGCATCAGGATCTTTTCCAATGAGTCAGCTCTTCACATCTCATGGCCAAAGTATTGGAGCTTCAGCATCAGTCCTTCCAGTGAATATTCAGGGTTGATTTCCTTTAGGATTGACTGGTTTGATCTCCTTGCTGTCTAAGAGAATCTCAAGAGGCTTCTCCAGCACCACAGTTTGAAAGCTTCAATTCTTCAGCACTCAGCCTTCTTTATTGTCCAACTCTCACATCCACACATGACTACTGGAAAAACCATAGCTTTGACTAGATGGACATTTGTCGGCAAAGTAATGTCTCTGCTTTTTAATATGCTGTCTAGGTTGGTCATAGCTTTTCTTCCTAGGAGCAAGTGTCTTTTTATTTTCATGGCTGCAGTCACTGTCCACAGTGATTTTGGACCCCCCAAAAATAAAATCTGTCACTGTTTCCACTTTTTCCCCATCTATTTGCCATGAAGTGATGGGACCAGATGCCTCCCGAAAGCCAGAACATTTTTCCTTTTGTCAGTGTTCTCAAATTTTTATTAAACACTTTATCTGTTCTGACTTATTTGCTTTTGGTCAAGATGAGCTTATATCTTCATCGTTTGAACCCTAAGGAAGTGGCAAATGTGGGGGGGGGGTGTGTTGCCCAGCTCTCCCATGTGCTGCTCAGAATGTCAGCAGGTGGGCTGGTGGAAGGAGCACACAGCTGTTCCCAGGCGATAAAGAGGAGAGGAAATTGTGTCCTTGACTTTATTTTATTTTCCTTGGTATGTGTGTGGTGTTGTGCCAAGATCTTGACTTTTTTTTCTGTATTTCTTTAGTTTTAGGAAAAGTAACTTAATTTGATTCTAAAATGAAATCTGATGTTTTTACTCTTAGGGGCTGGAGAGGATTAATTCTTGCCATTTGCTATGTGTCTGGGCAGTGAGTGTCCTGGGGGTGGGGGCTTTGGGTCTTGTCCCTTGCCCCTCCCAGGGCCTGTCACTTAGCAATTACTCTGTACATACATTTTGATGAGTCAGAGAGTACATGAATGTCCAAAGTGCAGGCACAGCATTGCTGACTGAAGAGACAGGCAGCAAGTTCTCTTTTCTACAGCCTAGTTCCTTCCCAGGATGATTTTATATAGGTTAATCTTCCTGTATGTAAAATCTTTCCCATGTATAAAATTGATATAGCACATGCCTTTACATGACCCAGTAGCCAGCACAGGTTATTTGTTGGGAGCCTTGGTCAGACATAGGGAGGTACTAAGGAGCTTTCTTTTTTTTGTATTTAAAAAACTTTTGTCTCCTTTGGGTCTTTGTTGTTGTGCATGGCTTTCTCTAGTTGTGGCAAGTGGGCTTCTCATTGCAGAGCATGGGCACTAGGGTGCATGGGCTCAGTAGTTGTGGCACACAGGCTTAGTTGCCCTGTGAAGTGAAAGTGACTCAGTTGTGTCTGACTCTTTGTGACCCCATGGACTGTAGCCCATCGGGCTCCTCTGTCCATGGAATTCTCCAGACAAGAATACTAGAGTGGGTAACCATTCCCTTCTCCAGGGGGTCGTCCCAACCCAGGGATCAAACCAGGGTCTCCTGCATTGGCAGGTAGGTTCTTTACCATCTGAGCCACCTGCCCTACAGGATGTGGAGTCTTCCTGGACCACAGATCAGACCCATGTCCGCCCACTGTATTGGCCCATGGATTTTTAATCGCTGGACACCAGGGATGTCCTGAGTTTAAAGCGTAGTGTCATTTAAAACATACAGTTCGGTGGTTTTTAGCATCTCTATAAGCTTGTGCCCCTGGTGGCTCCAAGGGTAAAGAATATGCCTGCAATGCAGGAGACCAGGATTCAATTTCTGGGTGGAAAAGATCCCCTGGCGAAGGGAATGGCAAACCACTCCAGTATTCTTGCCTGGGAAATCCCATGGACAGAGAAGCCTGGTGGGCTACAGTCTGTGGGAGTCACAAAAGAGTCAGATACAACTTAGTGACTGAACAACAAAAAATATTCCATTATATGGATGTACAGTTTGTTTATCCATTCATCAGTTGATGGACATTTGGGGTATTTCCACTTTTCGGCTATTATGAGTAATATTGCTATGAACATTTGTATAGTAGCCAACTATTTTTACATTTTCACTTTTTGTCACTTTAGACCAATGTATGTACAAGTACACAATTTTGACTCCTTTTAGAATCCAGAGATAAGATTTATTTATGGCAGTAGAAATACATGGAGCAGAATAAGCTAAAACGGGTAGTTACAGGAAAGCACTTGTTCATGCAGCCAGGGTCAATTTTAAGGAAGTTAAGCTTAAAATAATTTTTGCTATATTTTCATTTAATTAGTAATTTTCTGCATATGTACCTAAAATATGCATTAATATGCGTATTTATCATTTCAGTTACAATGGTGTGATTGACTAGAAGTTTGAATCTATGTAAATTCATCTAATTCTTCCATGCCAGTCTTTGCAGTCGGTGATGGGGACAGAATGGCATACAAACGGGGTCTGTGCCCCTGAAATACTGACGTCCAGTCTTGCTGAGGGTCAGAGCATGTGTGTGAGGACTTCCAGCCTGTGGCACAATGTGGCACCCTCTGCTGGGAAAGCACATGGCATCTTGGGAGCGTCAGCCTCCACAGTAGTTGCGGCACACGGAATGTATGGAATCTAGAGGAGGAATGGATGTAGATAATCTGGAGGAGGGGGTGCGGAAAGGAGGAGGAGGTGGGATGCAGGAGGGCAGGGAAGGAAGGGCGGGTCTAAGCAGAACGTTCAGCATGGCCAGTGCATCACCTACGGTTCAAGTTGAGGCGTGCTGGGAACTGAAGATGAAAAGAGCAGAGAGAGGCCTGGTACCCTGATAATGGCATTAAGTGGTTTGGACTCCACCCCAAGAGCTGGGAAGTCATTGAAGGGTGCTTCGTGATCTGCATTTTCCATTTTGGTTACTCAAAGGCATGTTGGGTGGAGGGTGGGGTCAGTAAGAGGGCAGGTCATCTGCCGTGAGGGACAGTGGGAGACTTGAGGATTCAGGGGAGTCGGGAAGAGTCACTGTGGGGAACAAGGTGAGCAGGTGGCTTGGCGCAGCAGCTTCTGGGCCAGAGATGAGTATCTTAAATCTGCCTCATGAGACATCATGGAGGGACATGCCCACAGGGATGTGGTAAAGCCCTGCACTGGCATGGTTGTGGTTCAGTATGTCCCTTGCCTTAATTGAACTGGGTTGAACTGAGTTGCCTTAATTGAACTGAAAATGCCAGTAAAAGTAGAGAACAAAAGCTGCCAAAACAAACTCTGTGGAATGTCCTTCATTCTCATCACAGTCAAAAGTCAGCAGCTCCCCTGTTGATTTCATGTATTTGCTATTTATTCTTTGAAATCCAAAGCCTGGAAGAGAAGCTAATTACTTCCCTGTTGCCCAGAATCAAAAAGTCAGGGTTGGTAGGGGAGGGGGGTGGTAGGGGCAAGGGTACACAACTGAGCTGTTATTTTGTAACTTTCAGGAGGCCAGGTATCTCAGTTCCTAGAGTCAGAGGGGAATTAAACAGAGGGCCAGGCAGGAAGGAGGAGGTGACCTACCTTGTGAGATAGTGTGAGGACCTCAGGACTCACGTGCTTGTAAGCTTTGCTCAGTGAGGAGCTGAGGCTGGCAGAACCAGGTGACTGTTCAGGGGCCAGAGAGCAAGAGATGGTGAATATAAAGTAGGTCTGTCTTATTGCAAATTGGTGGTCTTCCTGCTCCACCAAGGCGTCCCCTGAAGTGACATGCTGAGAGTCTGGACAGAGGTGAGGTGGAAGTGGGCCTGCCGTGTAAGGGGTGGGAGGCTGCATAACAGTGGTGATTAGCTTGTTTAGTAAACTCCCCTTAGACCGGTGGCCCTCCTAGGGACTAAGAGTTGGATTAACCTCACTTTCCTGGCCATCTCCATATGGGTATTGTTGCTGCAGCTGAGAGGTACCATGTCGTGGTTTGAGGCAGCTGGGTACATTTCCTACTGTGGCACAGCCACACTTATGGGCCTGGCAGCCCTCTTACAGGCTGCTGAGTCTGCCTGCATTCAGCCAGCTTTCCCTTCCAGCTCAATGACAGGGCTGGCTCTTGGGGGAGTAGACAGCATGCAGAGGTGAAGCCATGCTTTTAAGGTTTCGCCAGACATGCAGACGTCAGAACCACCGAGACCACTTTGGCTCCCCTCCTGGAGAATGTAGGGGGAAGATCCCCAGGAGGAAGGCATGACAACCCACTCCGGTATACTTGCCTGGAGAATCTCATGGGCAGAGAAGCCTGGCAGGTGATAGTCCATAGGATCACACAGAGTCAGACATGACTGAAGCAACTTAGCACACACATGCCTAATGGCTGAGCACATGACTTTTGTTTTCTCAGGGAAATGACTCGTGGCTTTTCAATTCTTTGTCCAGGTATGTACCCTTCAGCTACAGCACCCCAGGAGGCTGACAGTGGCCGGAAGCTGACTCACCTGCTGAATGCCGTGACGGACGCTCTGGTCTGGGTGATTGCCAAGAGTGGCATGTCCTCCCAGCAGCAGTCCATGCGCCTGGCTAACCTGTTGATGCTCCTCTCTCACGTCAGGCATGCCAGGTACGATCCCTGTGGGGTCTGCTCCACTGGGTGTGTGGTGGGAGGGAGGGTGCAGATGCTCACAGAAGGGTGAAGAGCTTTGGAAAAAGGGTTTTGCAAGTTCAAGATGGATGAGGTAGAATTGCCACCTTTAAGGGAAAATGAACTCCTGAAAGGAAGTTGATGATGCCTGAAAGGCGGGCATCATCACTATACACGCTGATGGCCCTTATAGGATGCGGTCGTTATAGCAGCTTTATAGTGTCTTGTTACCCTGCCCAAGCTCGCTCTGCTTGCCGTAAGCTAGATGGCAGGAGACGAGTTGTTGAGGCAAGGAATACAACTTTAGGCTGACCAAGAAGATGGCAGACTAATGTCTCAAAATAACTATCTTTTGAGGGTCTGGATGCCAGGTTCTTCTATAGATCAGAGGTGGGGGGAGATGAGGAAACAAAGTAAAAGTATTAATCTTGCAAAATATCTCCTAGAATTCAAACCTCGGGCAGGGGATGTGTTAGTGCCTTCCTTCCTGCCGCCTACAGGTGGACCGGGTCCTGAACAAAGACTCTTTAGTAAGTCAGGCACAGGGACAGGATTCTCTGAGGCAGGTCATCATGTGTCATTATAACAAAAGCAACAGAAAGCAAGTCAAAGACACAGTTCCAACATGGAGCCAGAATTGGCTTTTCCCTGCAACATTGTGCTGGCTTATCTGGTTTTCAGTTGCTGGGGATTTTAGCTTGTTTGTGGATTCCGAAAGGGGCAGTTAGTTCCTCCCCTAAAGTGAGCTGCCCCATCTTCCTGCACTGCACAGGGCTGGGGTCCTGAGGTGTTTTCTTAAAGAGGTTAAACCCAGCTTCTCTAGATCAGCTCTGGGGCTGGTGATCTGGGGCAATCACAAAGGCTTCCTTAAGAGTCATCCTTTTCTTGCTATAGAAAGGGATATTATATATCCTTGCAACACATTCCCTGCCCGAGGTTTGCCATTCTAGGAGATATCTGCCAGATTAATGGCCTTTTTATTTTTGTTTCCTCATCTCCCCCCAACTCTGATCTATAAAAGAACCTAATATCCAGACCCTCAAAAGATAGTTATTTTGAAACATTAGTCTGCCATCTTCTTGGTCAGCCTAAAGTTGTATTCCCTGCCTCAACACCTCGTCTCTTGCCATCTATCATATGGCAAGTAGAGCTAGCTTGGGCTTGTTAACAAGACACCATAAAGCTGCTATGACAACCGCCTCCTATAAGGGCCATCAGTGTGTGTACTGACGATGCCCGCCTTCCCTTTCAGGAGTTCATTTTCCCTTCAAGGTGGCAAGTCTACCTTATCCATCTTGCAATATATCAGGATACTAAGAGAACTAGTGAGCCCAGTAGGTTTGGGAAGGTAGGGCATGGGTAGGGTGTATCCAGGAAATGGACATTGTGTGCGCTCAAGGAGGGAGATGGTGTCTGATGGTGGCTTCATGCCAGTGCCGTAAGGCTCAGTGCTGGCCGTCACCCAGGAGGAGGGTGGGGTGCTGGGGCTGGACAAGGGGAGAAGAGGAAGGAAGGTAAATGCTCCCTGGAGGAGGAGGAAAGTCTAGGGGCAGTGAGAACGGACAACACACTCAAGAATTTTACCAAGAGGGAGGAAGTGGAAATGAGCTCTGCTCTGCTTACTCTTTAATGATTACTCAGCACACGACCATTTGCAGAGCAGAAACAGTCCATCCTCATTAATCACAGATCCTCTACTTGTGAATTTGCCTGCTTGCTAAAATGTATTTGTAACCCCCAAATCAATACTCGTGGTGCTTTTGAGGTCATTTGAGGACATGTGCAGACTGGCCGAAAATTTGAGTTAGCCACACTTACGTTCCCAGTGGAGGTCATACCAGGTGCTGCTTGCTCTGCCTTCTCATTTCTGCTCTCAGAGTGTAAACAAGGGTGTGTTATGTGGTCTATTTAGTACCTTGTTTTGGCCTTTTGTGCTTTGTTGGAGACTTCACAGTCTAAAAAGGATCCCCAAGAATAGTGCTAAAGTACTGTCTAGTTCCTAAGTACAAGAAGCCTGTGATGTGCTGACAGAGAAAATGCATGTTAGATAAATTTCATTCAGGCATGAATTTTAGTGCTATAGGCGCAAATGAAAATGTTAATGGATCAACGATTTATGTTAAATAAGGCCCTTTAAACAATAACTCAGAAGAAACAAGATTATGTATTAATGGGCTGATGAAAATGTTGGGACCAGGATCTCTCAGAACCTAACCCTTATTTCTCCCAGGAGCAATGTTTCAGTGTTTTCAAAGACCATGAAGATGTAACTATGGTGTTCAGAGATCCCATCACACTATGGGTCAAGTTGTTGGGGGTGGGTGGTGGGACACCATAGTCCACGGGACATTGGCTTCATCCTCACCTGCAGATCATTGGAGGAGCCAGATGTGAGAACCATAGAGCAGAGGGCTGGGGTCGTGCTGGGGTGAAGGTGAGGACCAGCTCCATGGGGGAGAGTCGGGGAGATGTTAGGCTTCCTGTGGCTGCTTTAGGAAGGAATCTCAGCACCTTTTTGTCTTTCCAGTAACAAAGGCATGGAACACCTGCTCAACATGAAGTGCAAAAACGTGGTCCCCGTCTATGATCTGCTGCTGGAGATGCTAAATGCCCACACGCTTCGCGACAACAAGTCTTTGGTCACAGGGTCTGAGCGCAACCTGGTGGAGGACAGTGAGAGCAAAGAGGGCTCCCAGAACCCCCAGGCTCAGTGACGCCCAGCCCCGAGCTGTGGTCAGGCTGCAGAGAAGGTCAGAGGCTGAAGCGTGAACTCCAGCATAAACCGTGAGCCCCGCCAGAAGGGGGCGGGCTTCCTTGGCTTTCTGCCATGTGGTCCTTCCTGTGGCTCCTCAATGCCATCCTTCCCCGACCTCTCCATCTCCTGGGTGTCAGGGAGCAAAAGCCAGTGCTCCTTCTCATCAGGGGGCAGAGTTTGAGCACAGGGTTTATGTCTGGCTTGGGCTCATTGTGGTCGCTCTGTTACTTCCCATCTCCATCCCACTCTTTGGAAAATGTCTTAGGGATTTTGGAGTGACTGGAGGAAACTGACTTGGAAGGGCTGTCAGGGGAGAAAGGGGAGAAAATGTAGGACATGCACAGAAGGGGACTAACCTTTTCTGTGCCACTTAAGCTGCCCTTTGAGTAGTCCTTTGTATGCTGCCTTCTGGACCACTTGATTGTAGGGTTGAAAACCACAACAACCATCAGCTAACTGGTTCCACATGCCTACCTCACAGGCCTGTGAGATGGATGGTCATACATTGCTATGATTCTGTCCAAGGCCAGAGGGAATGTGACCTAGGGAGCCAGTGGTCAGGCTGGGGTGGGAGCCACATTCTTCCCCCCAAACCTTGCTGCCACCTTCCTGCAGGTTCACCCCTGTTGGTTTGCATTTAGAGAGCCTGTGAATTATTTGGGGTATGTGTGTGTGTGTTTTCATCTCCATGGAGAAGAAATGTGGAGATGTAAATACTCTGCTCCTGGAATTGCCTTTCTTAAAACACTTGTGTCCAAGGAGTTCAGTACGTGTGCTGGAGAAAGGACCAGTGTTTGTAGGAATGGGGTTTCTCCTGTGGGTGTGGGTCACAGCCACCATGCTTCCCTGGGGTGGCCACAACTGCCACATCAGCCACCCAGGGGAGACAGGGACCCTGCAGGCTGTGTGTGTGTGAGGTGTGCTGATCCACAGAAGGATGAATAGCTACACACACATCAGCATCAACGTGTCAGGTTCAGGATCAAACTGTATAGACGGGATGAGCACACCACTTGAACAAGATTGTGAGCTCTATTAGAAAAGAGAGATAGTTAGGATAATTATTTATAGCAAGAAAAAAGTCTTTTATACCCTAGGGCTCTTTTAAAATATTTTCTTATCAGAACATTTATATGGTGGGTTGGGTGAAATAAAAACTTAGTAAAATATTAATTCTTATTCCAAGTGGAACATAAATAGGACACGATGATAAAGCACCTCTGAAATTACAATTTTAACTCATTTTTTAAAAATTTAAGTTTTTGTACAAATTTTCAGGAGCGTAGTGAATGCATAAAGCGAGTTTATGTCTATACTTTGGAAGAGAGCAGTTAGATAATCATGTGTGATTTTTGTGATGTTTTTAAAAATTACTTTGTAATAGGAGATTGAACACATTTTCCTTTTGAAAACGGTAAATACAGAATGTGCTCACCACAGTAAATCTAAGTCATTAGGAAGATTACATTCAATAACATAAGGTTGGTTTCTGCCAGTGTGATCTTGAATAATTGTTAATTTTGATATTGATGCAGTTTTAGTAAAAATGTTGAGCAAAGCTGTATCAGAAACACTTGACCATGTACCAAGAAGAACACAGTGTTGAGGGGATTTGAAATTATTCTTAGTGACTCAGTGTTGTAGCTTTAGTGAGATTCAGTACAGCAGATACTTTAGGTTTTATAGGAACCAAGGAACCAGTGTTTTTTGGGTCAATTTTCTTTCTTTCCAGTCAGTTTAGGACCCCCTATGGCAAACAAGGGGATGGAGGCTAGAGAGTGGGAAGTGGGAGGCAAAGAAGGCAGTTATTTGAAGAACAATTATTTGCTGATGAATTTCTCTTAATTGTATTTATAAAAAAGACTACCAGTTTGAAAAAAACAACATTAAAAAAAACAACAAAAATAATACAGAATGAGGTTCAAGCCACCACCCCATGACTGCGTAGTGAAGTTTTTCAGGTTGGATTTCGATGCCAAGGAAGGCATCCAACTGGTCTCGGGCGTCCAAGCTCCTGTCTGTGCCAAACCCTGTATGTCACCCACATGGGGCTTGCTGTCATGAAAACTCCTTCAGTGCCCACTGCCCACCTCCCACAAACACTCCTGTATGCTGCTTGAGGTTGCTTGTTTCACTGCATTTGGATTTAGCCCTTGAGGAGAAAGTTAACGCTTTTGGTCATTTCTTCTTGGCTGCGGTCTCACCTGATGTGCTGGGGATACAGGTGAGTCAGTCCAACCCGAGAGGCTGCCCTGGTGCAAGGCTGCCTCTCAGACTGGCATCTAGGCCCAGCAGGCAGCTGAGATAAAATGGTACGTAGTTTAAAGGTGTTCTTTGTTTTGTTTTGAATACCCTAGGGCCCTTTCCCCCTTCAGATGTAGTGTGTACATCTGTTCCCAGTCGCTCTAACTCCTTCCTCTGAGGATTGAAAACTGCTAAATCAGGCTGCTGTTTTTATGGGTTTTGAGCAAACCCTCCATGTTCGTTTTCAAGATGAGCCATTTCTCTTAAATAGTGCTTTCTCTTAAATGTCTTCTATTTGGAGGGTATCTAACCACTCAAAGGGTTTCCCTGGTGGCTCAGACCGTAAAGAATCTGTGGGAGACCTGGGTTCAATCCCTGGGTGGGGAAGATCCCCTGGAGGAGGAAATGGCAACCCACTTCAGTATTCCTGCCTGGGAAATCCCATGGACAGAGGAGCCTGGCGGGTTACAGTCCATGGGGTCACAGAGAGTCAGACATGACTGGGCAGCTAACACCAACCACCCAAATGGTCCATGGGCAACTTAAAATTCTCCCATAGCTAAGTACAGATTTCAAGTTCAGTTTTTAAAAGGAATTGGGAGAATAGGACCTGTGACAACTGTCAATAAGAATTAACTGAGTATTGGGGAAAAAAAATTACCCACCCAACTACATTTTATGTCTCATGGAAAAGGGATGCTCAGCTTTGCCTTAGATTTGTATAGTGAGATGTCTTTCCTCCACTTTGATCATTTAATGTGAGAAACTTACTTGTGGGAGATAAGTGAGATTGGACCTAAATTCCAAAACCATGTGTCTAATATAGGAATCATATGGAAAATTTTAATAAAATAATTAACATGGAATATTCTTAATACAGAAAGCACAGTGTTCACAACAGTGTTCACGCAGGTTCCCAGGAGAGCTGGAAGCCCCTAAAGAGAACCCTCATGGGCCCCCCGGCAGAATGCATTGTGAGTTGTCCTCCTTCTGACTCTGTCTCCCTCTGCCCTCATGGGACCCCGGCAGAATGCATTGTGAGTTGTTCTTCTGACTCTGTTTCCCTCTGCCCTCACTGCATCCTCTCGGTCTGGTCTCATGCCTCTCACATGGTCAGTGTCCACCAGGATTATCTACAAAGAATTCAACCCTAAAATAATTTTGAACTGATTTTTCTTCAAAAATTGTGGTAGGGAGAGAAAATTAAGTTGTTAGCTTAAAAACATTTCTGGAGGGTCTTAACTGTATTAAGAAATAATGCAAAATCAACAAAAGCTCTTCAGTGTGACAGTCTTTATCTGGGTTCCTTCCTTTGCTAACTCAGCTGGAAGGGCAATTATTTTTAGTTTCATAAAAAAAAATTATTAGTTCCCAATTCTTGGCAGAACTATGTTATATATTCATATATATAAGCTAAGTTGAAGCAATTCTAGAATGTTCTAGCGTGTGAAAGCAGTTTATTTTAATCTGCTAAGAAACTTGCATATATTAACACTTTTTCAAATTCAAAGGTGAACCTTCAGTTTCTAGTCTATTTTGAAACCAAACATTTTTAAATAAGATTTGACACATTTCTTTAAGCTGCTAAAAAATCTTAAAAGGACATTATAAAGGTTATATGAAGGAAATTATAAAAATACATTGTTTAATACCTAAAAATAGTATTTGTGGAACACAGACTGTGTGCCAGACGTGCTCAGTGCCTCATACATTCATATTTAATCCCCATACTCATTGCTGTTACCCCAGTTTTCTGGCTGTGGAAACTAGAGTTCTAAGCAGATTTGCTCAAAGTCATATAGGGAGTAAGTGACATATAGAGAGCTGAACGTGGGCAGTTGAAGTTCCAGTGGTGAAAGTAATCATTGCAACTTTAAAAAAATAAAGGAAAAATATTTTTAGACTGCAGAATCCATTTGTCAGATGCAGTCTGACATGTGTGGCTACTCTGGTTTCAAAGTGGGATCTGCTTGTGGCCTCATTTCCAGAACACCCCTGTAGACAAGGAGTTCAGTCCCATCTTTTATACATGTGTAAAGCCCAGAGGGGTACACAGACCTGCCCAAGATCATACAACTACTTATGGCAGAACTTGGACCCGAATTCAGGTCTTCAGCCTGCCTGGCAAGCACCGCTCCTGCTACAGACTTGCTTCCACAGGAGGCTGCTGCTTGAGCGGAGTCTCAGTGCACGGAGCAGAGACGGTTACGTTGTGGTTGCTTCTACTGCACCATCTACCTTCTCCATGTCGATGGGGTCTGTACAAAGCTTTACAGAATAACAGCCCTGGAAACAGGTGGGAAAAAAGATGAATTCTCTCATCCTGGCCCTCCCATGCTGGGCCCCTAAGCTCGTGGGCAGCACTGTGGTCACTTCCTCCTGTCTGCCACTATTTGCCCAGATGTGTTGCTGTGAGGGAGATTCCCTGGAAACTTAACCTGTGTAAAATTCTCACACCTTTTAGGCACCAGTGCTTCCTCACCAAGTCTGGTCTACTGCAGTGCTTAAACACATGCATTTATTCGTATAGCTCTCCAAGTTGCTGGAACTTTTGCTCCCGTGGCAGCTGGAAGATGTGCATTCTCTGCAGTGTTATCCTTATAACCCTTTTTGTTGAATTGGAATCAAGGATCCTTTTTCTTTTTTTGAATGCCTGTTTACTCGTGGGGCCAGTCAGTGTTCTGGGATGGTGGGCGTCCTTTATGGGAAAGACCA